GGGGCGCCCCCGGCCGCTGCCTCCCGCCGCCGCCGCCGCCCCCGCCTGAGCTCCCTCCTGCCGCTCCCGGAGCGCAGAGCGCGGCCGCCGGCCCCGGGGCTAGCCGCGCGCGCCCCGGGCACTCGCTTCCTTTTTTCGCTTCTGGAAATGGGCGTTGCGTGTCCCTTGGCTGGCGTCGTCGTCGCTGCGTTCGCCGCCGCTGTCGTCGTCGTTGTCGTCGCCGTCGCCTTCGTCTTCGTCGCCCTCGCCGTCGTCGTCGTCGTCGCCGTTGCTTCTCGTCGGCGTCGCCCTCATCGTCTCCTGTCGTCGCCGTCGTCCTGTCGCCCTCCCGGCTGCCCCCCCCCGGGGCGTCTCCTCCCGCCGCCCTCCTCCCTCTCCCCTTTTCCCTCGCCTGGCTGGTGGTGGTGGAGCTGTGGCGGGGTGGTGGAGGACGACGAGGTTCCCTGTTTCGTTGCCGCCAGTTGGCAGCGCGCGCACTCGCGCTCGCGCACTGGCGCCCCGCCATTTGGTGGCGTGGCAGGCGCGGCTCCCAGGGGGCCCCTACAACTGTCTCGCATGAAGCGACACCCGGCCCCCCTGGGAGCGGGCACGCGCGCCGGGCACTTGCCCCACTGCCAGCGCCCTACTCGGGACTGCTCATGCCTGCCCTTTGCCCGAGGCTTCGGCACCAATGCGCCCCACTTGGGTGCGCCTCAACCAGAACCAGAACCAGGAGGAGGAGGGACGAGGAGGAGGAGGAGGAGGAGGAGGAGGAGGGGGAAGGCGGGAGGCGGGAGGCGGGAGGCGGGAGGTGGAGGGGGCTGGAGCGAGGAGCGAGGAGGGACGAGGAGGAGGAGGAGGAAGAGGAGGAGGAGGAGGAGAGGAGGAAGAGGAGGAGGAGGAGGAGGAGGAGGGGGGAGGAGAGGAGGAGGAGGGGGAGGGGGAGGGGGAGGAGAGAGGAGGAGGAGAAGGAGGAGGAGGAGGAGGAGGAGGAGGGAGGAGGAGGAGGAGGAGGAGGAGGAGGAGGGGGGGGGGAGGGAGGAGGAGGAGAGGAAGGAGGGAGGAGGGAGGTTAGGAGGAGGAGGGATGGAGGAGGCAGGAGGCAGGAGGAGGAGGAGGAGGAGGAGGAGGAGGAAGAGGAGGAGGAGGAGGAGGAGGAGGGAAGGGAGGCGGAGGAGGCCGAGGAGGAGGAGGAGGAGGAGGAGGTAGAGGCAGAGGGGGAGGGGGAGGAGGAGGAGGGAGGGAGGACGAGTGCACATCCAAGACTCATCAACTATTCTGGAATACACACAAGCTCCCTCAGCACAGGCCCCTACAAGGTTCCATTCAATTGAAGAAGTGCCCCTTTGGGGGGGAACCGCGCGGGAATCCTGAAGCGCGTCAGAAAACCATCCTCAGGACTTCAACGCCACGAGTCAACCTGACTGTTGCGTCTTGACGGTCCTGAACCGCGCCAGAACGCCAGTCCTGGGAGCGAATCAACGTAATTGCCGCGTCCTGACAATCCTGAACCGCTCCAAAGCACAATTCCTGGTACGTTAGCCATGAGAACCAGTCAAACGCTTGCAAATGTTTGAAGAGAATGTGCGGGACGCTAAGGCGAGAGCCACATGTTGAAAACCATCCGCCCTCAATCCGTGAAGCTCTCGCAATGTGTTTAACGAATGTGCGCGGCGCTAAGGCGAGAGCCATATTTTGAAACTCTCCGCTCTCCATCTGCGAAACTGCTGCCAGTGTTTGGGCTCCAGGCTCGCAGATCATACGCTCAGGCGAAACGTTCGACCCGCCTCCCAGCTGGCCTCGGGGTGCGACAGTGGGGGGTCACTCATGAGGAAAAGGAATGGAGGGGAGGGAGGGCTCCTCGGGCGCCTCCCGAGGGGCGCAGGGACTGGCGGGCGCAGCGAGAGCGCCCTTCCCGCCCCCCGCGAAGGCGGAGCCTTGGGCCCCCGGTTCGGACGCCCCGCCGCCGCCAGAGGACCCGCGCCCGCCGCGCCGCCGTCGTCGGTCGATCGAGCTTCGAGGATCGAGGTTCAAGGGTCGAGAGTCGAGGATCGAGGCTCGAGGACCGAGGATCGAAGATCGAGGCTCGAGGATCGAGACTCGAGGATCGAGGATCGAAGATCGCAATGCTTGAGGGCGCTTTGCTGGGCCTCCAGGGCCGCCCTCCTGGCCACGGCTGGATGCGCCTTGAGGTTATGGCCAGAACGCAGTCCAGCAGAGGTCGAAAGGCAGTCGTCGTCAGTCGCCCGTCGTCGTCGTCGACCGGCGTCCGTCGTCCGTCGTCGTCGTCGTGGCCTCGGTTCGCCGCAGGCGTCCTTTTTCCACCACTCCATGTGTTTGCCACAGGGGCGCTTTGCGCATCGAGTTGTTGAAACGCGTAACGCGTCGCGCATCCCCACCAGCCTAGATATGCCCGGGGAGCTGCCCTGATCGGGGGAGCGTAGCATAATCTGGATATCTCGGGGAGCCTCAGTGGGCCAGAAGCCCGTGAGATGCCTCCCTGGGTTTCTTGAGGGGTCTATTGGGGGCCTTTTAGATACCTCTTGGGGCCGCTTGGAGGCCTGTTGGGGACCTCTTGGGGACCTCTTGGGGAGCCGCTTGGAGGCATATTGGGAGCCTCTTTAGGCATGTTGGGCGCCTTTTCTGGCCCTCATGGACGCTGTTTCGGCCTCTCTCGGGGCCATCTTGGAGAGCATCGATCAGAGAGGGTGTGGGGGGGGCTCAATTATCGTTGCTTCCTCGGGATCCCACAATCTGTCCAAAACCTATGAATAATCAATGTTGTGTGCCATCTCGCTGAGGGCATCCTGGACGCGCTGACCGCTCGCAACCCCGCCCCCCGTCCTCTCCGAAGGGGCAGAAGGAGGGAAAGATGGAAGAGGTAGCGCGCAAAACATCTCCGCCCAGAGGGCTAGTGGGACTACTCGACGCGGAGATTCCCGTATGTGATCTCATGTCTTGACCCTCGGCGCTGTGAGTGTCTGGCTGTTGAGTGAGAGTGAGTCCGAATGTGAGCCGTGTGTTCTGCTGGAGTCGGGGAGGCAAGCCAGACTCCCCGCCTGAGGTACCTAAAGAAAATGAGGGATGCGTCAGGCGGAAGATGCACATGTAGGGATCCTTGACGCCAGTCGCAGGCTGTAAGAGGTAGGTTGAAATAAGGGGAGATGGGAGAAGGTGGTTGGAGGAGGAACGGAGGTGGGAGTAAGAAGAAATGGGGCTGGCGGCTCCCAATTGAGGTGTCCAATCGTTATACCTGCTACATCACGGTAGTAATTGGGCTCTGAGAGCAGAAGTGCCGGTGAAGCCAAAAGGGTCTTATCGTTTGCGAAGGGTCCGCAGTCTGGCTGGACACGAGCAAGTGTTCTACCCCCTGGCAGCTCCACCTTGGGGTGCCCCATTGCTTTACCTGCCACACCGCGACAGCCATAGGGGCTCCGAAAGGAGAGGAGTCGGTGATGCCAGAGGGGACGTTTCGCCTGAGCAAGTGTCCTACCCCTTGGCTGCCCCCCCTTGGGTGCCCCAATGCTACACCTGTTACATCGCGGTGACCACGGGGGAAAACATGAGTATGAATTAGTCTGCCGATCTGCGAGTCGGAGACACATGATACGAGCGCCATGGGTCCAGGTGTATAAATCTTAGTATGCCTAAGCTGAGTGAGTACATGAGAGTGTGAGGGATCAGAGGGAGCGAGTCTGACTGTGAGTGAGTCGGAGCGTGAGTGAGTCTGAGTGTGAGCGAGTCTGAGTGTGAGTGATCAGCGTGCGAGCGGTCTCGAGCTCCGCGTGGCTCCGGAGCAGCACCCTCTGCTCTTCGCGGAGGTGCCCCTGGACCCGACGGCGTATCGCGAGCGCGTGACGCAGATCATGTTTCAGACTCTCAACGTGCTGGCGGTGAAGGTCGCGATCCAGGCAGAGCTCTCGTTGTACGCTTCTGGCCGCACGACTGGGCTGGTCATGGATTTCGGCTATTGCGTGTCGCACACCGACCGTGCCCATCTATGAGGGCTACGCGCTGTCGCATGCGATCCTGCGCCTGGACCTGGCGGGGCGGTACCCTACGAAGCACTTGATGAAAATCCTCACCCAGCGTGGCTACTCCTGCACCACCACGACTGCGCGAAAGATCGTGCGCGACGTCAAGAAAATGCTCTGCTACATCCCGCTTGACTTAGACACCGAGAGGAAGGTCACGACAGAGAGCTCCGACAAGGAGAATACGTTCGAGCTCCCCGACGGACACATAACCGTGGGCAGCGAGCGCTTCCATTGCCCAGGGGTGGCCTTCCATCCTAGGTTTGTGAGTGAGTCTGAGTGCGAATGAGGCTGAGTGTGAGTGAGTCTGAGTGTGAACGAGTCTGGGCTTGCGTGAGTCTGAGTATACTTGGGACTGGGTATGCGTGACTGAGTGTAGGTGCGTCTGAGTGTGAATGAGTCGGAGCGCGTGCGGGCCTGAGTGTGAATAGTCTCAGGGAAGAGATGGGAGTGAAGAGGTGAGCAGTAGGAGGCATCACAGTGAGAACAAGAGCCCCGTAGTTCCCCAAGCAGTGCTTGCACTTAGGTGTTCCTACTGTGCTGACTGAAGGAACTGGATGGGTACGCCGAGGTTTCGCCTGGTGCACGCCTGTGGGCGCCTCGTGGCGCTCGTGGGCGCACCGCGCTGGGGGGAGGGTGTGCGGGAATTTCGCCCGGTGCCCGCCCGTGGGCGCCTCGTGGGCGCCCCGCCCGTGGGCGCCTCGCTCGTGGGCGCCCCGCGCTGGGGGGATATGCCGAGGTTTCGCCTGGTTCTCGCTCGTGGTCGCCACATAGCTTGCACCGCATAGCTCACAGCACATAGCTCACTCCACATGTCTTACACCTCATAGCGTTTACAGCGCAGCACATGCTTCATAGTTTACGCAGTCCAGCTCAGACCGCACAGCTCGCACCACACAGCTTGCACAGCCTTGATTGCACCACATAGCGTACACCGCATAGCTCACAGCACAAAGCTCACGCCGCATAGTTTACACCACGTCGTTTGCACTACTTCGCTTGCACCACATAGCGTACACGGCATAGTTCTCAACACATAGCTCACTCCGCATAGTTGTCGCAACCTAGTTAACACCACATAGCTTACACCGCCTAGCTCATACATCCGAGCTCACGCCACATAGCTCACTTAACATAACTTGCACCACATTTGTTATCAAACATAACTCACGCTGCAGAACTTACGCCGCGCAGTTTTTTCTCCACAGTGCAATAACGTACGGCTTCGGGTTCACGCTGGCTAACACTAGAAACTTTGGAACAACATCATAGAGCCGTCGACCAGATCCCTGGCCCCAAGCGCGGCCCATTTGTTCAGCATTCCCCCCAGCAGCCCATTTTCGCCCCACGGGGTCCAGGGTTGAGTTCTGAATGTGTTGGCGCTGTTTCGGACGCGCGAGGGCCCCAAGACGGCCTCATTCAGAGACCCCCGCGACGACCCAAGATGGGCCGTTGTCCAATGGAGCAATCTGTCTCTTCCGAGCGTCCCAACACCTGTTTCTTGCTTTGATAATGATCCTGGCGAAGGGCCCAACCATCTGCGGGTGCGGGTTCGAGTGCCGCAACTTGCGGCACTCGTTCCGACAGGGCCATGCTCCAACAGGGCAACGAAACGTGTGAGGGATGTTCCGAAATTTCTGCGGGGCCGCCATGCGGACCCTGCCGCGGCGGCCTTCGGTGGAGCTCCCGATGGGGCCATGAAGCGTGTGCGAGGTGTGCTGAAATTGGTGCGGGGCCGCCATGCGGACTTGCTGCTGGGGCCGTCGGCGGAGTCCACCCTATGGAGCCACGAAACGTGTGAATGGCGTGGCGAACTGGGAGCGGGGCAGCCATGCGGACCCTGCCGCTGGGGCCTTCGGTGCAGCCCCCCATGGGGCCACGAAGCATGTCAGGAGTGTGCCATCGGTGTGGGGCAGTCATGCGGACCCTGCCGCTGGGGCCTTCGGCGGAGCTTATCGCCGGGGCCGTCGATGGAATTCCCCATGGGTGGAGAGCTCCCTGCGGGGCCAAGAAACGTGTGAGGGGTGTGCTGGAGCGAGCGCGGGGACGCCATGCGAGCACGCCCATTGGGGCCATGCGTTGAGGGGCCACGAAACGTGTGAGGTGTGTGGGGGGATGTGCCGACATGGGCGCGGTTACGCCGTGCGAGCACACCCACTGAGGCCATCGGTGGAGAGCTCATTGTGGGGCCACGAAGCGTGTGAGGGGTGTGCCGAAAGGGGCGCGGGGACGCCATACGAGCACGCCCACTGGGGCCATGGGTTGAGCTCCACGTGGGGCTCGAAACGTGCGAGGGGTGGGCCGAAACGGGCGCTGGGACCGCATGCGAACCCTCCCACTGGGGCATTCAGTGGAGCTCCCTATCGTGCCAATGAGCGTGCGAGGGGTGTGCCGAAATGGGCCATGGCAGGAGGAGGAGGAGGAGGAGGAGGAGGAAGAGGAAGGTAGGAAGGAGGCGCGCGGCGCTGCAGATTCAAGACGAGGACCCAGCACGCAGGAAGGTTGGAACATAGTTCCTCAAGAAAGATCAGCGGTGAGCGAGGGGGGAAGTGAGGCGGAGAAGGCCTTCTCAGAAGGCGGCAGGACTTCTCAGAAGCCCTCGCGCCTTCTGATTATGATGCTGATTATGATGATGTTGATGCTGGTGCTGATCATGATGATGATGCTGATCATGACGATGACGATGATGCCGATGCCGATTACGATGATGATGCTGATGATGATGCTGATGATGATGATGATGATGATGATGATGATGATGATGATGATGATGATGATGATGATGATGATGATGATGATGATGATGTTGCTCTCTCCTCTCTCTGTCTCTCTCCCTCTCTCCCTCTCCCTCTCCCTCTCCCTCTCTCTCTCTCTCCCTCTCTCCCTCCCTCTCTCTCTCTCTCTGCTGATGGGAACGCTTAGAAAACTTGTCAGAAGGCCGGGGAGCTCCCGAACCTTCTGAGAAGGCCTTCTCCTTCTCACGTCCCCCGCCGAAAAGGTGCTGTCGGCCGTCACCATTTGGCCAAAGCCATCTGGCGTGAGCAGTTTGGGTTCCGGAGTCGAGTGGCGCACCACGATATATCTCCTCCCACAGATGGACGATGGTGACAGCAACGAGCCCGTGCCGAAGCGGCAGAAGACTCAGCAAGAGGAGGAGAAGGCCTTTCGCTTTTCGGTTGGCCAGAGAGTGCTATGTAACTTATCAAAGCGTTCGTCTGGATTCGTTTGGAAAGTTGGAACAATAAGGCACGTCGCGTACAGGCCGTCGGCTGAGCAAATGAAAAACAATAATGTTGCACACAAATCTCCGGATGGTGTTGCCATCATACCCTATGTTGTGCAGCTGGAGTCTGGAGACACCGTGGCTTCCCCAGAGGACCACGACGAGTGTGTGCGTCTTGCTGCCAGATGCTGTGACGACACCCGCGTCATGCGCCAACTTGCCGTGCCGTTGGACAAGAAGGAACCCCTACGCTTCGCCGAGGGCGACCGTGTTGCCGTGCAGTTGGACACTGGAGTCTGGGAGGAAGGGTTCGTGGTCGAGGCTTGGGCGGTGCCGGCGAGGAACGGCAGGCCGCTGAAGACGTGGCTTGGCTTCGCCGTGCCGTACGCTGTCCAGTTGGACCTCGGGCACTGCGTCTTGGTGCCCTTCGACACGCACGAGGTGATCCGAGCGGAGCTCGCCGAGCGCCCTCCGCAGAAGTCGATCGCAGAGCAGATCGGGGGGACGGACCGCGCGTCAGCCACCGTGAAGGCCGCATCATCGGAGGAGGGGCAGTCGAGACGACGGCGGCCTCCCTTGGCGTTTCGTCCCGTGTGGGGCCCTCCTGCCCCGGCTGTGCCTCAGCTCGTTCACCATGCCAGAAGGCGGGGTAACTTCCGAAAGGGACCTCGACTCCTCGGCTGTGGACAGCCTGGCCCGCAAGACGATATCTGTCGAGGCATTCGCGAGCTGGCCCGTGCCCATGATGAGGGCGCTGCCTGGCGCTGCGGTCCTGGGCGCGAGGGGGGCGCGCAGCCCCTGCGGCCGCCAGCGTGCGGTGCTCGCGCCACGGCCGGATCCGCCTCGGAAGCCAAGCCAGGATACGACGAGCGACCACATCGACGACGACGACGACGACGAGCGACCACGACGTCGACGTCGACCGAGCGACGACGACGACGACGACGAGGCCGGTTTCGAACGGGTTTGGGCCGTGCGGGAGCCGCCGTTGTCTCGATCGGACTTCCTCCAAGCGGCCGCGACTCCCAGGCGCTTCGTCACGTGCCAGAACGCGCGGGGCGAGTGGGTTTGCCGAGACGCGCGCACGGGCGCCGAGAGGCCGTGCGCCCCGCCGTGCCTCGAGGAGGGGCTGATCGCGCGGTCCGAGTGAGGCAGAATAGCAAAACAAGTGCTCTGGTGATGATGATGATGATGATGATGATGATGATGATGATGATGATGATGATCATCATCATCATCATCATCATCATCATCATCATCATCATCATCATCACCTTCATCACATCATCATCAACAGCACCATCATCGTCGTCATCATCGTCATAATCATCAGCATCGTCGTCATCGCCATCGTCATCATCATCATTATCATCATCATTATCATCATCATCATCATCATCATCATCATCATCATCATCACTATCATCATCATCATCATCATCATCATCATCATCATCATCATCAGCATCAGCATCAGCATCATCATCAGCATCATCATCAGCATCATCATCATCATCAGCATCAGCATCATCATCAGCATCATCATCATCATCATCATCATCTTCTTCATCATCATCATCATCATCATCATTTTCTTATTCATTGTTGTGCCGATCGGCGCGGGCCCTTGCACCCCCCTTTCCCCCCCCCCCCCCGTGGAGTAGATCAGGGCTGTTTTTTGCGCCTGTTTCGGGCAGGCGGGGTCTCCCCCACAGGACGCACTGTTGCCAACAGTCGCATCAGGCAGATGTCCGGAGCCAGACCCCCCCTCACCCCGCCCTTCTGCCCAATGCCGAAACGCCGAATAAGAAAACGTTCGCCTGCATGTCGAAATGTGTCTGTGAGCGCGCATTTGTGCGACCTGGTTGCCGCAGCTGCCCCCGACCTCATCGCTCGCGACAAGAAGGCCCTCGTCATCACAGGATACCGTGCCAGCATGGTGGCGCTACGCCACGGCCACCCGCTCCGTCCAGGCACCTTCCCCAAAACACACCCCACGGGGGCAAAGGCGGCTCCCCGGCCCCTGGCGAGTCCATCTACCGCCAGCGACCGACTCCGCAGAACGGACTCCTGCTCGCCTTCCCTAGGCTCGAAGCGCGGTGCCCAGATCTCTTCGCCAAGAACTTCATCACCATCGGCACCGTTGACAGGTGTCAGGGCGACGAAGCA